ATCCATCGATCTTGATAATAATCTCGATAAATCTAGTGCAGTCTTGATCTGGTTAATCTTTTTTTCTCGTGATCTCGGTCCATACTTGTCTGATCCTAATTGTTTTTGAGGGTGGAAGGAGCTGAAAATTCGAGAGAACGTACCTTCCAGTGGCGTAGCCAGGAGTAGGGTCATTGGGCAATTGCCTATAACTTCAAAAGTTATTGCCCATAGATTTATTGAGCTATGCAGTGCTTGAACAGTTATTGTCCATGGATATTTTTGAAATCATAATGGTTGCCCTTAGCTGCCTGTAACTTAAAATAGTTCGGTTGATGGATTGCCCATGACTCAAAAATTTCTGGCTACGCCACTGGTATCTTCGTTCGATTTTTGCGCATAGACAGAGTTGAAATTCTGTTTTTGTCAAGATTTTTTTGTGGAAGAAACCTCAACATTTTCTTTCTGATCAAAAAGCCTCCTACTGAATTTATCTTACAATGATAGATAGTGACAAAACAATTTTTAATGTTTAGTATGTCAATAATCTAAGTTATCTTCATAGATAAAGAAAGAAAAACATATATATTTTGTAATACTGATGATGCATTTCATTGATATCTATATCATTCGTCAGCATGTGTCGAGTCTTAAAATATATTTAGTTTTAAAATATATTAATAGTAAAGCCTTTTTTATTCATATGTATTATCAATAAGTGTTCTTATATGATCTATTAATAGTATTTATATGTTAAATATACATGTATATCTTGTTAATGAATATCAATCTGTAAAAGTAAAATATATACCTTCATTTATTGACAATGCATTTAGAAGACGAGAACAATTTTGTATTTCCGCTTGTCCTGTAGCATCTTCAATTATCATTAAATCAGCATGTTTGTCGATCTATATATATATATATACATAATATTTCATATTGTAATTAACTAGATTATCCTATTATAAAATTTATCTACGAACATCTTTCTTCAGTTATATTCATTTTTCTTTTTTCGTATCGAAATGAAATCATATGATCTTTTATACTTCAAAATACTGATTAATTTTCGATAGAATGATATTTGAAGAAAGCAAAAAAAATAAATATTTGTTTTCCATGTACAAGTCAATTCTTATTCATATTCCATTATCTTTATCAATCATTTAATATAATTAAAAACATTTAGTAGATATCGTATATCAAAAATAACAATTATTGCCATATAACTCACCTTGATACAAATACCTTGTAACCAAACGTATAGAAATTGATGAGTTTTACCATTATATATTATAGTCCATTGATTATCATCATCAGAGTCTTTTCTAGCTCGGCGTAAATCACCAATGAATGATTTCCGCCAAAATGTATCAATGAATGTTCCTACCATTATTTAAGCTTCATTTTTAATTTTTTCAATCAAAAAAGTGAAAATCTACAGTTGAAAAAAAAAAGCGAAAACAGAAAGAAAAATGAATAATCATGAGCAAAATAATCAAGAACGAAAAAAGAAAAAAAAAGAAAACAATATATTATGGAATTTAATCACAACAAATCATAGAAATAGTCAAGACCTTGACCACCATCCCATATAGCAATACCAACATTAAGTTTAGTTGCTAATTCTAATCGTTTATAAATTGATTTTAAACTAGGATAGAAAATAATTGTTTCAGGTATTGGATTTGGTTGTTGTTTTGTTGGTTGACCATGTATAACTGTAGCATGTTCTTGTGATCGAGGATCATAAACAATCATTGATTTATGATGAGATTTTCGAAGAAATTCAATATAATCTTGACCAATAATTGATTTCATTCCAAATTGTTGTTTTTGTTCGTTTTTTTCTGATGAATCAACTCGATCATAACGATATCCATAAAAATTAAGACCAAGAAATACTTTAATTGGAGTTTCATCTTCGGGCATAACAAATTTTTCCATTGTCATTTTGACCCATTCTTTAATGAAGAAAAAAAAAAGATGTAAATATTTGATCAATATTTTTACATAACTTAATAAACATGTTTAGAAGATTAAAAGAGTCATGTTAATCCATAAACTTTTAGGGCCAAAATTCATTTTTAATTAGAACACTACCTGTTTCAGTTGTTTGTTCCATGTGTTAATTCGTCTCGAATAAGAACAAATACATTGGCTTTATATTATTGAAAAAAAGAACGGAAAATATGACAAAAGACTCATATGGTCTTCAGAATTACATATTATGCTTTTAATATTATGATCAAAGACAATTTTTTTTTAGAATCTTTCGATCAGAATTATATCAGTAGAAAATTGACTCATTTACTTATTATAAAGTTCAATTGTTCTATACATAGTATACAATTATCTGATATTTTCAAAATGAAATTCCTCGTATATGGTTTATTAGAAAAATACTCAAATATTTTGAAAACAGATTCTCATCAAAACAATATTCTATTTTTTTTAAGTTCTCTTGAAACATTTCTCACTAAAAGCGAAAAATGTCTCATTTCAGACGAGCTTTCACAAAAGTGACATTCTCCTTGGCACCACAATTTGAAATCTCGAGTTTTCTCTTATGTCTGATTTGTTTTCATAATTTTTAATTAAAAAAAGATTTTCAGAAAACTAATACGATTTTTATAATTATTGTCGGATTTTTTAAAAAATGCCAGCCACCATTTTTTAAATAACTTTTCACCATTGATAGGTATCGAGTTCCGATTTTAGCCATTCGATAGAGCGGCGTAGGGTGCGTCTATCTATATGAGACTCATTAGAACCAAAGGAGTTTTTTATGGTAAATATTTAATTGATAAGAGTTTTCGTTACCAATTTTCACTAGTTTTCATAGAGACTTAGGCTTAAATTACATCAAAATGTAGCTTTGAGGTCTTGAATTTGCGTTAAAATCTCAGAATTTTAACGAACTATCGTATTCAAAACAATGACAGAAAAAACTGAAAATTTTGTCACAGGTACAGTAACCTCCGAGCTACCTTCTGCTGTAATTCAAGACTAAGTCTCTATGAAAAATAATGAAAATTGGTAATGCAAACTCTTCTCAATTAAATATTTACCATAAAAAATTTCTTTGGTCCTAACGAGTCTCATATAGATAGATGCCCCCCGCGCCGCTCTATTGAATGGCTAAAACCTGAGCTCGATAGCTATTAAGAGTGAAGATTTATTCAAAAAATGGTGGCTGGCATTTTTAAAAAAGTCCGACAATAATCATTCTCAAAATTTTCCATGATATGTAAATTTTTAAAATGAAATTATTTATTCAATTATAATCGATATCTTTTCTAGAATATTATATCATTTCTAATATTATATTAATATATACCTAATGGTGCAATTGGTCCTGGTTCTCTATTAGGAAAATCATATGTCATAACACTAAATCCATCTAAATGTTCAAATAACATTTCAAAATCATCTTTATTAAATAATTCTTCATATGGTGGTATAGCTAAAATAATTTCTTTTTTTTTTCCATTATATTCTACTTGATGTACATGTTCAGCAATATCACTAATTATATGATTAAGCATTGGTTTTGATGCACCACGAAATTGTACAAGTAATTCAAGTACATAACCATCAAATAAATTTGTATATTCATTAAGAAATTTTTCAAATGTTAATGCTAATTGTTGTTTTTCATTTTCCGATTGAAATAATGCATGTATATCATCAGTAGACCATTGTTCAAATATAACACGTGGTACAATATGTACATTAGAATTTTTTTCTTTTAATGTTTCAATCCATTTTTGATCAATATCATGTATACCATTAATAGTATATTTTTCAAAATCTGTTCGTTTTATATTAAACCAAACTGGTGAAATATAATCAAATTTTTTTGTAAATATTTTTGCTATATCATAACCATGAGAATTCCATGGTGTTATATAAACAAGTGTTGGATTATTAAATTCTCGTGTTTCTAAACATTTTGAACAATATGATTGATAATTTTCAAGAATTGATTGAGGATTAGTATTTTCTTCTACAAGATTACGTTGTAAAACATTAGTTTTTGCTGGTGATAATGTTTGATATGATGATGGAGAAGGTGGAGGAGTTGATCGAACAGATGGTGATGGTGTTGTTGTTACTTTTTCTGTTGAACGAGTTGATGATTTACGACTACCAGGTCCTATTGTTGTTTCAATTGAAAGTATCAAACAAAAAACTACAATGAAAGATAGATAGCGTATCATCTAAAATGATTATAGATTAAGTTAATAGTGTTGTTCGTTTGATTTCAAAAATGAAATTACAAAGATCTACATATTAAGATTTTCTATTTAACATATATTTCATAAATTTCAATATATTAAAGTACTCATTTCAATAAAATACTCTTAGATGGATAGAAAAAAAAAAAGTCATTTATCGTCTGTTGTCTAGAGAAAAATTTTACTGTTCTACTTCCGCTATTTTGACAAAGTAAAATTAATTATTTAACATTTTACATAGATAGAAACTTAAATGTTTCTTTCTCCTCCGTTATATTTATTTAAGTTTACACATTTACACAACGGAGTGATTAATTGAATAATATTCTATATCAAAAAAAAAAACAAAAACGACGTTTTTATACATTAGATTGAATGAAATGAAATTTTTTTCAAATGAAGAAGAGAAATAAAATGCGTATGCCTGATTTAGTTATATTCTTTCTGTTAAGATTTGAATACTGAAAACAACAATGTCAAAGTTTCAGATAAGATCTAATATTTCAAAACTTCTATACTAATAATCACATTTAAAAAAAAAAATTGTTCAGTGTTTGTTTTGTCTCACAATGAAATATCTTACTGCAAGAATAAAGTTCATATAAAAAAAAAAAAAGGAAAACAAAAACGAAAACAATGAATAAAAGTTTTTCAAAGGCACGCTTATTACTGATAAGTATATCTATCAATAATAAGAAAAAAGAAAAAAAAACAAAAACTTTCTTTTTATTTATAAAAAAAAAAACAATTCACGATCAAATAAGAAATAAAAATAAATCATGGATTTAAAGGCGTTGGTAATGACGAATTTGGTAGAAAATTCATACGATGCTTTTGTGCTCGAGATTCTGTTACCTAAAAAATTACATTAAAACACAAAAAAAAAAAAAATAATAATCATTAATTTAATAATAAAATAGAAGATTTGTTTTACTAGTTTTTGTAATTCAGTTAATTCCATTGTTAATGTTTTTATTGCTTCATTTGCATTTTCCATTTGAACTCGTAATATTCGATTATCTTGTTCTTCTTTAGTTTTATCTTCTTGAGTATCTAAACTACTTGTTCGCATTCGTGGAAACCAATCAAGATTTCTTTGCTAGAAAGAAAAAAAAAAAGATTCATTTTTATTAAAACATTAAAAAAAAAAAGAAAATATAACGAACTTCGATCATTTCATGAACATAACTTTCAGGACCTGTATATTCTGTTGGATCTTTGACATGAATTAAAACCATAAAATAAACATAATTCCACATATTATGAACTTTACGTATATGATCTTCAAATGTTACATGTTTATTATCAAATGATTTACGATCAAGTCCTTAAAAACAGAAATTCATTTTTTTTTTGTTTATCATAATCAAATTATTTGTTTGTTTACCACAAATAAAACATGTATTACGAAGTATTTCATCATTTCTTTGTTTTTCTGTACGTAAATCAGCAAAATTATCAATAATAACACCAAAAATTAAATTTAAAGTTATAATTATAACAATAAAAAAGAACATCATATCATATATAACACGAAAGAAATATAGTGGTTCCTAAAAAAAAAACAAAATTCATTATTCAAAAAGCTTAATTCTTTTTTTTAATCGTTTCTCGACAATAGAATGTATTATTAAAACAAGTAACGTTCGTCGGTTCGACTCACTTGACCCTCGACTGTATCAGACAGAAGTATACAAGTCTCATCCATGGACACCCAGTTATGAAACAGCTGATTAAGGGAGAACTTATCACATATGTCGGATTGACTGAATTTTCATTCTGAAAAATTGAATTGGTTGAAAATTTAATATTAACAGCACGAGAATTGAATACTTAGCCAACGTTTTTTATGATGTTTCACCTTCCACTGTGACAAAAACTTATTTTATTTCATATAACCATTCCAACACTCGAGAAAAAATTTATTTTCTCAAAAAAAAAACCTTTTCTCCTGAACCCAAAAAAATTCAATTCAAAATTTTAAGAAACTAACTTCAGATTCGGATTCCCCGACCCCCATTTATTTTCGTCAACCTTTATAAAGTATCGCTATTTTCTCAAAAAACCCTTTCCTTGACCCAAAAAATTCAATTGAAAATTTTGAAAAACTAATTTCAGATTTGGATTCCCCGACCCCGATTTACTTTCGTCAACCTTTATAAAATATCGTTATTTTCTCAAAAAACTCTTTCCTTGATCCAAAAAATTCAATTCAAAATTTTGAAAAAAAACTAACTTCAAATTTCGATTCCCCGACCCCGATTTACTTTCGTCAACATTTAGAGGAAAGAACTTTAAATGGATGTTCTTTTGACCCCAATGCAGACACACATACACACACAATCTATGTTTTTTCATATGATCCTCCCTACAGTCGAGGGAATATATTCTTCATTCTTATGAATCTCAATCGATTTTGAATCGAAACTATATGCATTATGTAGATCCAAAATGAAAATCCTTTGAAAAGAGTTCATACGCTTAGCATATTACTACAAAGATATTGCCCTTTAATCGTCGTTTTTAAATAAATGTTATGATCTTTCTTAGGAACACTAGAAAAATTGATTTTCAAATTTCAACGTAAAACTTTGTATATAGACAGATTCTAACGAGGATGATATTTTGCGAATGGTGTAGATCTTGTCGCTGTGTCTATCATAAGATATGCCTAAGGTCATAGCATATCTTTCATATAAACTATAAGATTTGATGTTCTTATTTCATGATAGATACATATCAAAAGTCTGGAAACTTTAACAATAAACTATTCGCGTTAAGATCCGTTTCTATGCAAAGTTTAAAGTTGAAATTTGAAAAGCAGTTCTTCCGGTTTTTCTGAGGGAGAGCACGACATTTATTTAAAAAATACCATAACTATTGAAGGAATCTTCTCGTTAGTCATTTACGGATCTTTTTTCATAGATAGTATATAAAACATGAGTCTTTTTTTTTTGAAAATTTCATATCTCACAGAGACTTTATTTCAAACTTCTTAATATTTTCATGAAAGTTAGTCTTAAATATAGACAAATTAAAAATTCGATAACTTAGTCAAATCTTAATATGAACTGAATTTCTTTAAGGATTTCTATTAAAACATTATCTATAGGCAAAAATATCATGAAAATTGGAAAAGAACACTTACGCGACTAGAAGGTTGTCTTAATACATCGCCAATACCACCACCATTTCGTAATCCTTTATTGAGTGTTGTTACAATACACATAAATAATGTATCACAAGCACGTTCAAGTTCTTCATTTCCTACTTCTTCTGATAAAATAGTCGATGCTTGAGTAACATTACGAATATGACCGGTTATTGTATTATTAGTACAATTATCTTTTGTACAATATCCATTATCATAAGTAGTTGGAATGATTGTAGCTAAGAAAAAACAATACAAAAATAATTCATTAGAATGGATTTAAAAATATATGAAAATAAAACAATGAACAAAGACAAAAAATAATAACACTAGAAGACAACGAATAATTGACATACGCGTCAAAATCGTTGTTTTATGTGAATGACTTGAACGTTGATATTGAATAGAATTTTTTCTTAATTGAATATTTGTTAAAAAATCATTACGAAAAAATAGAAAACCCAAAATAGAAAAATGATATATAAGTATAAGAGCTAATGTCATTGTTAACATTATTGATTTTCCATTTCGTGTTACTGATTGTGTAACTTGAAATAATGTTGAATCTCGAAAAATTATATCAAGTAACTGGAAAAATAAATATTAACATAAACATTTTTCGAAAAAATTTTCAAAAAATATAAATTAGTACATGAAAATGTAAGCGAAGCATTACAACAACAAAAATAACTTTTTAATCATACGTACCGAAAAAATTAGTTCTATTATTCAATGTTATGTTTACACTATGATTTTCTATTGAAAGTGGTTTATCTTGTACTTCCATAAGAAAATCATCTTGGATAAATAAATAACCACATATAGCAAATAAATAAATTATAATGACTGCAAATACAGCTGTTAATATAACGGATTTAGCATTGCGTACAACACATTGAATAACATTCCACAAAGTATCTTCACGATAGACAACATCAAGCAACTAAGAGAATGAATACAATACAACATCAAACATTTATATCGAAAAACAAAATAATTTCATATTAATTTGTCTTTTGTTGATAAACATAGAAATAATTAGAAAATATTTTTCTTTTCCTGACTCCAAAAAAAAACAGGCTATTGTTTTAATAATAAAATTTCACAAATAGAACATATCGAACCACACTTTAATACTCTTAATGAAGTTTTCTAATCGAAATCAAATAGCCGTGCCAAAGAGACATGTTTTTTTTTGAATTCTGTGATTAGTACATCCTAAATCTTTTTTTTTGTTAAACAAATACGATTCATCGAGTTCACAGTTTCGGGTCTCGATTTGCAGAAAACTTCCAGCCTCGAAATCGGGTCCATGACCAACTCAACGGGCTCTATTTGTCAAGCTCGATTCAGTTGATGTTTTACTCATATATTCATAAGTTTCTTGAACATCGATAATTCAGTCTAATTTTTGTTTTTTTATGATAGATAAAATTTCTTTCAATTTTTCATACAAACATGAATTATTTGTATGTAGTATATATTTCTTGCAAAGCATAACATATAGATTTACGATAAGCTTCAAATATTTTATGCCACATTTAACTTACTAATAAACTATAGAAAAATTCATGAGCACATAATCCAAGTATACAAAGTCCTAGATATCCAACATGATAAACAAGTTGAAAATTAGTTAAATTTTCATAACGTGATTTTGAAAATGTTCCATTATTTCCCATAAAACTAACTAAAAATATTCCTTTATTTAATACCTATAGAACAAAACAAATAACCAAACAATAAAAGAAATAATATTCTTCATACTTGTATGGCTCCCATTAACCATAAAGTTGGTCCAAGACCAACTGAATAAATTGATCTTAAAATACCCGCAACAAAAAACATACGCATTGATGTTTTATTTGGTTTAAATAAAATAGCAATTAAAGTTATTAATAATGCACTCCATATAGCTGCTGAAGCACGAGAATCAAGATCTTATTTAAAAAAACAAAAAACAAATAGAATATTTAAAATTTAATTATATAGATTTAAAATATTACCTTTAAGACCTTTATTAAATGGATAAAAAACAGCAACAAGAATATTAATTAAAACAGCGAAATTAAATGCAATATCACTCCATAATGACATTTGTGATGAAAACCAATATAATGTTGGTTGATGACGTAATTTTCTTTGCCATTTCATTTCTTCGAATATTTCAGGAAATTTTTCAAAAAAATCTTTTACTTTAGAACCTTGTTCATCTTGTTCACATGTTAAAAAAACTTTTTGTTTTTTTTCATTTGTTAAAAATTCACATAATTGTGGAACAGGAAATACAACTAAATAAATAATAATAATAAAATATTCATATATAATATATATATATAAAAACTTTACTTGGTTCTATTGATCGATCATGTCGAATAATTTCTATTTCAGCTGTATGTTTATGATAATAAGATAATGCTTCATCATTTAATGTTCGTTGTTTCATTAAACTTTCAAGTTCACGATTATGACGAGCAAGCTATATATATTCAAACAAGATAAAACAAAAAATATTTAATTATGTCTATATATTAATTATATACTTGATATGTAAGAATATACATATTATGACCAACAGTTTGTGCAACATTATTTACATTATCATTTATTTCTTCTTCATGTAATATTTCATTATTTTCAATTTCTTTACTTTCAATATCTTGTTGTTTACCACGAGCATAGATTTGACAACCAACATCAAGCTAAATTTTAGAAAAATTTAGTTTTATACAAAAAAAAAACAAATGTTCATTTTTTTTGTTTTTTTTACTAATTGTGAAACAGGAGTAATATTTCGAAGAATACGTTCTGCATTTGTACTATCATCACGACTTTCCATGACAGCTAAAAGTAATTTTGATGCATTATCCTAAAAAAAAATAAATAGAAATAAATTATAAATGAAATATAATTATATTTACTTTTAATTCAAGTACAAGATCATAATTTTTTTGATTCAATGGTGTTATATCATTTAAAACAATAGCAATAATTATATCAATACCATTTGATTCATGATTAACAATTGCATCTTGATTATCATGACATGGTCCTTGACAATATTCAGTTAATGTAATTAATGCTTGATTAATTAATTCAACATTATCTTCATTAATATAATTACCCAATAAACCAAGTAAACCTGTTTGTGAACCACAAATAGCATCGAGAAATTTTAATGTTTCACAAACAAGATTATAATTTGTTTTATGTTTATTTTGTACTCGAAGATAATTCTAATAGAGTTTTGAAAAAAAAAAAAACTAAAAATAAGAAAAAAAAAAAATGAAAAACCTGAAATTCAGGATTATGATTTTCACAAAGTAATTGTAAAAATCGTAATATTGGTTGCATTATACGAATTTCAAATACAAGTTTATGACGACGATTTTGAGCCCTAAAATTATTAAATTTTGTCAGTAGTTTAAACAAACATTATCTGTTATACATAACAAAAAAGATCATCTTAGATCTCAAATGTTCCTCAAATTTTCTTTTATACCGTTTAAACATAGGTTTTGTCAAAGAAAATCTGAGCGAAATACTGAACGCATACGGGTACAAATTTACATCTCATCCATCAGGCTCAATATATTCGAGTGAGGATTCAAACCCGGTCGAATCTAGATCTGGAACTAACATAACAAGTTCTATTCGTCATAGATTGAGTTTAAGATACTGATCTTTAGTCCTCTTTTCAAAATCACTATCATATTTAAAGAATAATATTTTTCATCATAAACTTATACTTTGGAAATTTCAAACTGAAGTATATATTACAGAATCTTTTATATATGCAGATCCATCATAGTTCACATGATTGTAGTCGATGTGAATCTTTTTGTCAGTATCTTTGAAATAGTATGTAGCATAAAGTGAAATTAATCATGATCATAACGAGATTTTCAAATCTAAAGACTACATTAGTATATCTAATGACTTCTGCTTTGTACTAAAAGTGTTTTTCTTCATATTTGAAGAATAAGTCATTTGTTTTGACAAAAACAAAATCTAACAACAAGAGAATCTACGAAATGTGGAAAAAATGATTTCGGTTAGTTTTATGAAATAAAGATTGAAATATATATAGTTATCAAAAAAATTAATATTAGAAGAATAGTTTACATATATGATTTTCTTTAATTAAGTTACATGCGAAAATGAATCTTTCATGCAAATTTTTTTTCTAACCATAGATATAAATTTTAATGAAACATTGAATTCTTTAAATTCTTACTGAAAATCAAAAATATCAATTGTTTCAGGGGTTAAACTTCTTTTTTGATCTGATTGTGGTGAAGCTTGATAAGTAAATGTTGTAGCTTCAAATACTTGTGGAGATTGTATTTCAGTAATATCTTTTTAGAAAAACAATAGAAAAATTATTATTTCAATATTTATTTTTTTAATAAACATACTATTATTAGTATTTATTTGAGATTCAAATGGATGATTCGATAATGATTCAATATTAACTTTCTCATCTGTTGATAATATATGTGATTGTTGTCGATTATTTATTGTTGAATTTGGTATTAATGAAATACGCTTAGATTTTGATGTAAATAGAATATCATCAAAATCATCATAATCTATAGGAATATCATTTGTTATGGATGATGTACTTTTTAATATTTTTTGAGCTGTATACATTTTATCATAAAAAACTTGAAAGAATTTTTCTGATGCTATTTCACATTCATGTAAACGACGATAAATACTTGTCTAAAGAAAAATGAAAATTTATTTTATGAGTAGACACATACAAAAGAAAAAGATCTAACTTGAACTTCAGTATTTCCACCTTCAAGTAAAGCAATAGCTAAATGAATACTTTCTTCGAGAATATTTATTGATGAATGACTTATAAATAATTCAACAACAAGATCACTAGCACCTTGTTGATTTAATTCATTTTGTATTAAACGTAATCGTTCAATAACATCTTCTTCTAAATAAAAGAAGAAATTTATTATTATTATTTTGAATTTGTCGATTATTCAAGATATTTCACACAAAATATAGATTATTTGTCGAAAAGTGGTGAAAATCTTTTTTAGTTTTGCATAGTTTTAATGGAATCGTTCGATTATTAAAATGACAATCGAACAATAACGAGACTATGCTGCTCGAATGAAGATTCGAACATTAAATTTATTCGATATAAACAATTAAACAATTTTAACATACCTTTTAATGTTTGATGAAGAGATTTTAAATATTGTGAATCATCAGAAAAATAAAGTCGAAGTAATTTTAATCTTAAACTTAATCCCTAAAATCGATGAAAAACAAAAAAACAAAATAATTCTTGTAATAGTTATAATAAAAAATTTTTCAATACCACTGGATCAAATTCATGATTGCATTTAACCATTGATTTAAGTGCATGCATTATACGTAAACATAGAATTTCATCTGTTTGTATAAGAAAATATTTAGCATGTTGAATTAGTCTAATATATATTAATAATATATTAGTTTATGTTTGAAAAAAAAAACAAAGAAAATTTTATACTTATGAACGAATGATCCAAGAAGAAATTTTATTCGACATTCATTTTTATCAGAAAAAAGAGCATAAGGTGCACGAATAACATCGATAAGTATACTTATTTCTGCTTGAATTAATGGACTAAGTCGAACACTAACTTGAGAAAGAAAAGCCTAAATATTAGTAAAAAAAAAAAAAATTTAAGATCAAATATTTAATTAAACAAATAATAATTACCACAAAACCATCAATAACACGTTTATGTTCAATATCTTGTGAATGATCATGTCCGTCCATTAAATAATCATGACTATGTTGTTGTTCTGCTGTTACACTACGACTTGTACGTTCTGAATGTACTGTTGATTCACTAAATGAACTATGATTTGAACGTAAAAAATGAATAAGACCACGTCGATCAGCTAATGATAAATAATAATAAATTACAAAAAAAAAAAAAAATCAAATTAAAATTTTTACCAATTAATGATATTATATGTATACATCGATCAACACGTTCACGTTGTACTGTTGTTAACCATGGTACACTATATAATCGTAGTAACTGATTATGAAGTGTTACAAGAGTTGCATTGCGTTGCTAGAGATAGAAAAATGAAAAAAAAAAAAACAAACACAAATTCATATTTCAAAAATAAATAAAAACAAAATGAATTTCAGCACTGCACACATGCACAAGTATAATTGAAGCATTTTGCTATCTTATTTAGCTGAATACAAATTTATTCTAATGTCTTACTTGAAATTCAACATTATCCATAATCTGCAATTAGAGAATATTTTTAAAACATGCGTGAAAGTTAAATAAGAATTTTTTTTTATTTTTTTTGGGTTAGTAATATTTTTGATCATTCAATGAGTGTTTTTTTTTTTTTATACATAACAAAGTACCTCCGAGGAAACAATTGTTGATGGTGAGATCTCAATTGATCCACTATCATCAAACATATAATGATCCTAAGAGTATATCTTACTGATAAAATATTCATTTATTTTAATATGAATAATTAATTTATGTACACTAGATGACACAGATGAATTACGAATTAAAACAAATGTAAATTTTAAAATAGATCAGTTTTTATTAGTTTGTATCAATGAATTCGACAAATTCTACTATGATCTACTAGAGTATGGATGTAACTATACTCATGTTCTTGTAGATCCTATCAGAGATGTCCATCGCGGCTCAAAATCTGGCGCTGCCGCGCCGCGGCCAAAATCAAGCAAAGCGGCCGCGCCGCCATGACCTGTTAAAAAAAGCTACTGCGCCGCTGCCGCGCTGGTATTCGAAAAAATGTTTTGATTTTCAAGGCTTTGACTGGTTTGAAATAGAACTGATGCCGCTAATCGATCAGATTCGCTAAGTCTTACAGTATAGCATACATAAACATGCAGATTCTGTGCAAATTCATGAATTTTTGAAATTTTTTCCTAAAAAGCTGCCGCCGCCGCGCCGCTGCCGCGACCGCAAAATAAAAATCTCTCCCGTGCCGCTGCCGCGCCGCGATCGTTTTTGGAACAAATCTGTTGCTGCCGCGCCGCCACCGCCACAGCGGCAGCGGCAGCGGCGCGATGGACATCTCTGGATCCTATTAGCCCTCGATATATCACTCTGATGGATATTGATACTTCTTTGTAGATCGTATTACAGCTCAATAGGCTTGAATAGACTTATAACAAAAAATATATATATTTATGTATAATATATATATTAATAAATTCTTTGAATATGTCTTTTCTATAAAGTATAGAAATTTAACATTATTTTGTAATTTATTTGTGTCATGAAGTTATTTATGTATAAGAATATAAATAAAAATGATGAAGATGTTATAATTTTGCTTACTTGTTGTACAGATGATTGTTCAAAAAAAGGCGAATTGAAAAATTGATATATTAATTCCGTAACTGTATTTAAAACATATTTTTCTAAATAGGGTTCGTCGCTTGGTGATGTTATGAGCTAGAAATATTGACAAAAAGAAAACAAAATAGTTAGGTTAACTAGAAAAAATAAAAGTTTTCAGAAGTAAAAAATTTTTATCGTGTATGAATTAGATCAAATAAATTTGAAGATGTAAATCTTATTTCGAAATTAAATTTTCAAAGTTGAGGCTATTTCAATTGTAAAACTTCAATTACATACTTATTATTTTTAAATCGAGTATCGCCGAATATCATTTATTAAAATACTTTAGCTTTCATCAGATCATTTTAGAGAAGTTTTGTTTTTGTTTTTTTTAATATTATCTTGAGTACAAAAAAAACCAGTATAATTTTCATACAGTATCATATTCACATACAAAGAATAAAAAATCTATTCAGTAAAATAGTTCATCTATAACAGTTGCTAAAACTGCAATGAATCAATAGCATATTTTCATATCGCACAGATAGACTAATTTAAAAAAAAATTGTTTTCAAAACTTCTTACCCAAATGAGAAGCGTTTTAGTATGATACACAGTTGCAGCTACGGTTTGTATATAAGCTATTCTAAAGACAGAGACCATGTGAAACTCAACCTTTTCTAAATAACAACGATTTCCTTGTGAGTTACAACTTATCACCATAGAGGAATTTAAGGACGAAGCTTATGGGACGTGCAAGGAGTTATTGCTGACTTATACTTCTAAAAGGATACTCAATTAGGCTCTTGAATTTTGCATGAAACTCATTTGTGTTGTGGACCATGGCGTTTATAGTACAGAATCAGTCATGATGTGCTTGTAGTGGCTCTTAATGAGATGAGTTTAAAACAGTGTTTCTATGTGTTGAAATTTATTTTTAGTATTCATAGGGAAATATAAATAAATATTAAAATATTTGTATAGAATTTATTTTTTCATTAGTTGATTCTTACGTGTTCAATATCCGGACAAAATGATTTATCAATTAATGTATAAATATGTTGACTATTATAAATTTCTTTCATTTCAACTTCAGTATCAATATAACAATGATTTAAAAATGTAATATAAGCATCTTTAACCTAATAAAAAATTGATAATAATAAAAACAAAAAAAGTCAATTTGATACAAACTTCAGGAATACAAGATGGATCTGTTACTATTAAAACAAGATCATCAAGACCAATTAATGAATGACATTTAATTTCTGTTGATGCATTTTTTCCTTCAGTACACATTGCCAATAAATGAACAAGTTGAATATGATAATTTAATAATGAATTTGGATTTGTACGTTCATTTTCTGATTGCATACGTTCAACAAGATCATTTAAACTTCCTTTTTCATAAAACATTAATACTTCATCGGAAGAAACCAACTAGAATAAATAAAATAAATATATTTCATTGTTATTTTTTTTTTTGGAAATTTTTACTTCAGACATAATTAAATCTTGACAATTTTTAATATATTGATTTTCTGCTTTAACAATTGTTTGAAGAAATTTTATATATATAAATTTTCGTCCATGTAATTCAATTAAATGAACAAAATGTTGAACATGTTTTTCAGTTATTGTTTTACATAATTGAATATTATTCAGAAATATATAACAGCATGTTTCTACTTCTTGTTCCTATTACAAATAAAAAGTAATGATAATAATAAAGAATTGAGTAAGTAATCAATCTCATCAATATGCTTATATTTAATACTGAAATCGACTCATAACTAGACATGATTTTGACCAATCTTTTTTGGCCCTGGTTCCTAATTAGATATGAACAAGATAAGTTTTTTTTTGCGTTTCCATCAATTAATCGCTTTTCAGTCAGCAAGCATGAAGCTCAAGTTCAAACTTGTTGGATCGAGTTCAGCAAGTAGAAACCGTTGGGGTTCGGTACATGTCTAGTTATGAATATAGTGATAAGAGTTCGAGATGTTGCATTTTTACAGTATTTTTTGAATAAAAGTTGTATGTCTTCTTTAAGAACTCCGAAAAAAACTGATTTTCAAGTTTTAGCTTGAAATTTTGCATAGCAATAAACCATAAAGACAATAGCTTTTTATAAAAATTTTACACTTCTTAAAATTCCTCCTATCCTGAAATAAGATCGTCGAATCTAATAGTGTATATGAGTTAGGATCTACGTGATGTTCATTGTTCCATTTCAAGAAGCCGCTATGACTGAGTGGCTGCATTACTCATCACGTATCCACAAGATGCTGTGTTCAAACCTCACTATCATTAGGGATGAAATGACTCTGGGCAGTCCATTAATGATTCTTTGTCTCAAATCATCCATCCAATAACATGATGGCTATGTTGTGACATACATATATTCTTTTATCCAATTAGCGTGTATGGGGAACACAAGAACTTTGCATCAGAATGGCTTTTTGTTCAGAGCTACAACTGGTATTAGTTGTATGGAAGACATCGAACTATTGAATCTACTGCTAGGCACCGTTCCATACCGTAAGATAGGAATATTCTTTTTTCTGCTTTCCTTCTAATTTGGAATCAACTAATCAGTTAAGAAATTTCGCTAGGTAGTTTTAACTTTTGATTTTTTTTAAGACTTTGAAATAATTCTATGTTATATTTCATTCTTTTTTTTGTTTACCTCAGATATTTGTGCATAATCACTAAAATATAAATCATATAATTTCGTTTGATTTGTTGGATTTTCATAACAAAAATATTGTAAAAGATTATGAGCTAATTTCATGATATGATTCATTCGAGTATCTTCCAGCTAAAAATAAATAAATATAAAAAAATTTTTTTTTTGTTATTGACTTTACTTTATCATATGGAATTTTTAATAAATCAAGTACAACAACATGTACACCCATATTTCTTAATAAACGTTGTTCATTTTCACGTGCATATAAAGTACCATCATTACTTTCAACAACACATAATTTCATCATTCGACAAAGAATCTAAATAAATATATCATTTTTATTATTTTATTAATAATTTTGTTTTTTTGTCTTTCAAAATAAATATTATTCAAATCACATGCATAAGCTAATGAATAAGAAATGCATGCTTGTGTATTCTTTTTGAATGCAAAAAATTTATGACATTGTCTGCAAAATAATTGATCAAAAAAAGACATATCTTGCAAGTCAAAACCAAATTCAAGAAAAGAATATAACATTTCTATCTATTTCTAATATAGATGTGCACATATATATATATGAATAATAAAGCAGTATTTCAATTGAGAGTAATAAGAAAAGAAAAAAGAAGTGAAATATGACATGTAGATAGCAAATGTATATATTTATGAAATTCTCATTACCATGTTAATAAATTTATGTATGCCCTATTAAAATAGATGTATTAAGAAAAAGAAGTCTATGTATAATATTATATTTTTGATTTAAGTCTCACGATTTAACAAATCATTGAGTAATTAGTAAGCAAAGTGATTGAATTTTACAGTTGATTCTTTGAAGTCTAAAGAATTTAATAAGCATTACTCACCTGAAAAATCGATGTATATCGATAAGCTGATTCTTCATTGATAATAGGACCACCATTATCCCATTCTGTATCAGTTAAACCAGAGGAATTTGCGAATTTCTTAAATAAAAAAAAAAAAAAAAAGAAAACAAAAAGATTGATAATATTTAAGTGAAAGTATCGTTTTAATCAATATAGAATATGGAGATATTCTAATATAAATGTATTAAAATAGACAAATTGTAATAAAACAAAAACTGATTCTAATTAATTCAATTTCAATGTAAATACCAAAGATGGAACTAGCCGGTCACTGGTGTGAGTCTTCACTTTCATAGACATCTACACTCCAAAAATTAGCGATTAGTAGGAATGTCAACATGAAACTAATAATGTGGTAATTGAATTAGAAAACATCTTTCGAAAGTTTAAGTTACAAGATGTTAACAGTAACCCATGAAGTCCACTAACCTGATCATTATCTTACTAGAGCGAATCCCCTTGACACAAATAATATACAGTTTTGTTTAGATTTAACGCTCTTTCTAATGATGTTCTTACATAGCTAAAAAAAAATACTTTGCTACAATTGTTAATAAATATTAATCAGCTATAATAATAATAATAATAAATTAATTGATACTGATAATATTAAAGAGTAGCTTTTACGAAAGTTTAGCTCATTCACTTCTACATCAAAAGATATATAAAAGACGTTTTAATGATTATTAAATAATGGGATGTTGATAAAATGTTAGGTACTTTAAAGTTTTGTCCTTCGCATTAGGAAATTACAGATGTTGATCATATCAAATACGAATATCTAGAGATGCAAATGATATAGACGTTAGACTGATCGCTAATTAGAAGCTCAAGTCAGTTCTATTTCTGTTCGATAGTTATTATCAAATATGATTAATTAATTTTAACAATATATTAATCTATACCTTTATTTGTAATTCATCATCTTTTCTATCTTCTTGTTCAATATTAATTTCAATTCCATTTGCCGTTGTTACTGTTCCATCTTTTAATTTTTTATAAACCCATAATTCTGATTTTTCAACAAATAATCTTAATTGATCTAAATCTCGTTTTATTTGTTTATAATTTTCAACATCAGTTTCACTAACAAGTAATTGTACTTGATTTAAATGTTGTAATGTTTCTTTACGTTGATTAAAATGTCGAAAAAGTAATGATAAAGCACGTGATACTAATGGTTGATAATCATGCATAATTAGATTAAGTAAAACTTTAAGAAATGTTTTGCCTTTTGCATCATCTAAATCAAGATTTGGTTCATTAGAATCAAATATACATTCAATATCAGTTATTTGAAGTAAATTTGATATTGATTCTAAATAAATCAAAATAATACATTTAATTAGATAAGATATATCTTTATATATATACCGAGATGATCAAATTTTTGTTTAAACATGGAAATAAGACGAGAAATACGAAAATCAAGTCGAATATCAAGAATAAACTCAAGAATTGCAATAATATTCATTTTTGTTTTATAAGCTAAATCATCAATTGTCTCAGTTGGTTGTTCTGCAGTTGTATCTGTTACAGTAAATAAAATTGGAGCAAAGATAGAGTCATATTTTGATGATTTTGGATTTGATATAACACTTGTTGGATCTAATAAATAGAAATCGAACTTTTGTTTTTGCTTTTTAATATTTATATCAAAACAAACTTTTTTCTGAATGTGGATTAATTATATTTCTATCTATAATTTTACTTGTATCTAATATACCAAGAAGTGTTTTTGTTAGTTTAAGTAAATCTTCAAAACTATAAAAACCGAAGAAAATTAAACGCCGAGCTAAATTAACAACCTAGAAAAAATGAATTTAAAAAAAAAAACAGATAGTTTTTTTTTTTTTATAAAATAAAAATTTTTTTACTTCATGTGTTAATTTATTTTGTTCTCTATCAGCAAATGAATTTGGTTGTTGAACAACTGTATTAAGATAATCTTCAACAAATTTCATTGTTGATTCAAATTTTACTTGATTTTCATTTTTTTCTGTTGGTTCAAGTGAACCATTGATGGTTTGATCATAACTAAAGATATATCATGTTTTTTGTTTTTCGAAAATAAATAAAAACTAAATCATTTTGCTTGTTGTTTTTTTTTTTCTTACTCATTTAAAGATATAGTTGATTTAACTTGATTCCATAATCGTGCATATTTTATACGTGTTACTTCTTCTTGTGGATCACGATTAACATGTATATGAATCATTAAACGACAAAATGCTGCACGTAAATCTGATGGAAGATTTTCACTTTTTATACATCTTAATAGATGAAGTATTTTTTGTGTAGGGAAAAGTATTCTAACGCAATAACTTACGTTAGAATAAGTTCAATTGTTAATTCTATTGACAAATTATCAATTGCTAAATATTGTCGATCGAAACACATATGAGAAAATAAATTTAATTGATCTCTAGATAAAGATTTAAGAGTTCAAATTATTTATTAATACAAATTAGAAATATTTTCGGCGGAAAGATATTCTACGAATGAAGAAGATTTTTATGAAATTAAAAAAGACTACAGATAAGTTACTTTATCGATTATTGAGATCAATAATATAAGATTATAAATAGCGAAAGGATTCTATTCATAATGATTCGAAGCTTTTAACCTCTCATTTTTTGCTCGTACTCAGGAAACTTGTATTCCAAAAATATAAGAGATTCTAGGCTTTCCTGAGAAATTTATATCCATTTTATTGAGGGTATGGGTGTGATGCATACCTACAACAACCACGACCAACTATAAATCTTCGCTCATAGTTTTAAACCTATTAAGACATTTCCTTATTTCAATATAGTCTATCGAATGTGGTGTGAATGAATCAAAATAGAGTTGAACACCTCGGATACTTCTCTCGTAAGTTCGAATTATTTTATATTAGTTCAATTTTTAGTTATTTAGTAATATTTACTATGAAACTATAGACTGTTTTGAGTATATATATCATTCAAACATCTTATTAGACTTTGATTCAGAAGTATATACACATATTCATATTTTTACCTATAATATTCAAGCATATTTTTAAATTCTTCTCGTCTTTTATGTGAAGGTTGATCTCTTACAACACCAGCCATATATTCAATTGATTCTGATTTTCCATCCCATGATAATCGAACTTCTTGTAACATATTTTGACTTGATAAACCAATTGGTGAACTTGTATTATCATCTAAAATCATATCTTCAACACATGATCTTATTTCAAGTCTATTTAAATGAATTATAAAGAAAAAAAAAAGAACAAAATTTCTAAAAAAATAATTATATCAAATTAATAACAAACTTTGTTCGTATTAAAATATCAGAATTTTTTTCTAATACTGATTTACATATCATTTCTTGTGTTCGTGCAATAGCTTGATTACTTGATACACATAAATCTGATAAATATTCAAGAAATCTTAAGAAAGAAAAAGCAAAAAAATTATTTTTTTTTTTTTTTTAAAATATAAAAATTAAAATTCTTACTTGCAATCTCGTTTTTCTCTTAATAATCTAACAAATGTATCAATTTCTTTTTCTGTTATATGTTTTTCTAATAATTTTTTATTATTATGTAATAATGCTGTTATAGTATCTTCAGCTAATATATCATAACCAATTTGAGATTGCATAAATGAAAATTCTTTTGCAATAGTTTCCTTAATAAACAATAAAAACAAGAATTTTATTTTTTTAGAATAATTAAAAGAAAAATCAAATTAAATTTTACTTGATTTTTTCGATATTCTTGTTGACAATGTTTAAGTATTCGATAACAAAGACGACAAATTGTTTTTATTTGATGTGTTATTGTTGAATGACGTGCATCAACATCTTGTTGATGTGAAGATGTAATAAATTGTTCATTATTTAACATTGGAGTAGAATTTGTAGAAGAATAATCTGAAACTTTTATTGATTTTGTATTTGATCTCTCCAATTCTAAACGTGGTTTTAATACTCGGAGTATTCGAAATAACTTAGAAAAACAAAAAGAAAGTTTGTTTTTTTTTTAGTTTTAAGTAAAGAAGAAGACTAAATACTTGTTTGAGAATATTTTGTTCACGAATTAATTTTTGTCTTTCACGATTCGGTTTTGAAATTTGAACATCAAATGCATCACTTCCATTATTTACTTGACAAGCAAGAAAATAAACTATATCACTTAATAATAACATCGTTTGCCTACAATAAAAAAATGTTAAGACATATAGAATGTATTTTAAAATACAGTACTGTGCATAGCATGAATTATTCTGTATTAACTTTCGACAAATGTCAAAAGTCGTATTATGAGTAGAGGCGTACGGAAACAAGCCTGTTTGCTCTCTGCCTCGATGACCGAAACTGAAATCGGTCCCATATACATCTAATTGTGATGAGTTATTTGCTTGCTAAAGGGAAATATTCGATCTAGATATAGCTTTAAGCAATTGCCGAAAACCTACTAGGAAAGTCGTGTTGTTTAGTAATACTTAAAACTGTAGAAATAAGGATATTGTGATTTTATTTCTATGATATGTAGTATTTAAGTAAAATTTGAATAATGATTTTGATAGGCAACGAAGTTCTCTATCACATGAACTACGTATCAAAGTTTTACAGTTGACGGCTCTCCAGAAAATTGCACACGATAGGTTTCAGGTCCCTGAAGACTTTACAAGAGTTCGTTTATAGCAGCAACATATGAAATAGTACAAAATTTTGAAGAAATATGAGCAGTCGCCACGTTCTATTACAACTTTTCCATACAGAGTCACAAGTATCCCAAAAAAATGCATATTTTAGTGATTTTTTTTTGATAAATTTTGATGTTATTTCAAATAATGTCGTTGAAAATGAATTCTCATGTGTCTGTTGAAATCTAAAAACTATTGTATTCAGTGACTTATAAAATTTCTTTCGTAATCCATCTCAAAACTACCTATTTATATTTTCGACATATCAACAAAGATGAATATTATAATAGTAATATTTTTCAATTTTAATTTGAGTGTATGGATGAATAGCTGCAATTGTTCAATACGTATCTACAAGGTGCTGTGTATGCAAAAGTTAGCACTATCAACTATGCATTTTATAAAAGATTTTTGTTATAGAACCTGAAAAGATTTCGATTTTATATCTTTGATAAGAATCTTTTTAAACTCTGTGTAACAAAAATTTTTTTTTGTTTTTAGAGTATGGAATGACCCTAGACATATTACTAACGGCTGTTTGTCTCATATCATCCGTTTGATAGTATACTCCGTATGTTGTGACATACATCTATTCTTGTGATTAGTAGGTGTGTGTGGGAAGCGTAAGAATTCGATGTCAAATCAACCGTCTTTCGAGAACTACAACTAATATTAGTTTTAGAGAAAATATCGAACTATTAAATCTGCCACTAGGCAGTATCCTATATCACATGATAACTGAAATCGTCATATGAATGAATTCTTATGTATAATACATGATAAACTATATGAAATAATCAAATTTATTTCTTAACAACTTTTTTCAAAAGTAATTACACAAAAATTATTTATTCTTATAGATAATTTTCAAATAAATACATTTTAATTTATAAGACTTACTTTCTTTCATTAGCATGTGCATTTATAATTCCATGTTTTTCCCATTTTGATGCAGTTGTATCCAAATACTGTGCAGCATCATTAGCAAAATCTAAATCTCGTACTTCATCTGGTGAAACATGTACAATTTGAAATGCTTCTTTATCTTCTTTCATTAAAGCACAACCAATTTTAAAACGTACATTATCATCATCAGGATCTAATTTAATATTTGTTGAATGTATCCATGTATTTGTACATATATGTTGTAAACGTACATATGAACCCCATGCTACAGGATCTTCATCACGTGTTATTGTTGTTGGATCAAGTTCAAATAAAGATGATATATCATATGCATGTGGAATAGGTATAAGTGCAAATACAGGTGTACTTGTTGCTCCACGTAATTTTTGTCGTGTTGCATCAAATGTTTGATCATTATCAACTTCAGCAGCAAGATATTGTCCTGTAGCTAAATGTTTAAAACGAAATAATGAACTCCAATGACCAATACCACCACGACATGGATCTTGTTGTACAACTTCAATTTCCCATAAAGCATTTGATGATGTTGCTGATGTTGCTGATGCACGACCAGTTGCACGTAAAAAGACAACAGTTTTTTTTCGATAATTATCACAGGTTAAAAATTTTTCTTGTTCAGCATGAAATAAACGTACAATATCACCCTAAATTTTTGCAAAAAAAAAAAAATAATAAATTTCTTTTGTTTTTCGAAAACAAAAAACAAAACTTTCGTACACTTTTTAATACTTCATTTGTTGCTTCATGGCAAGACATAAATAAAACAATTTTCCAACTTGTTTGAAGATGAGAATTAGCCTATTGAAAAATATTCAAAAAAAAAAAAACACACAATATAAAATGATGTTATAAATTAGGAAAAAAAAGAAAAAGAATGCGATATCGTGCATGATAAATAGTGATAATGTAAATAATAGTAACTATGCATTATTTTGTTCATTTTAGAAGTTAATAATTTGCTTTCTAAGTAGATCTTTATTGGAGAGACGCTTTTTTTTTTGTTTTTTTTGTATCTAATATGATATTGAATATGAAAAATGATTTAAATGTCTTAGTGGTGAAAAATTACGATTTTCATTAAAAAAAAAAAATCGATTTTAGAATTTTTATGTAGTTGCAAAATCCTTGTTGTCTACTTTAGAAAACAATATTATTAATTAGAATTCTGATGTTTTTTCACGATTTTACACAAAATTTATAAATAATTGAAAAATGTTAGTTTTTGTTACCTTGTAAAGTTTTTCTAATGTATTCTATAATAGTGAGGAATCTAACAAAAATGTGTGAAATAACAAGCACTACAAAAGCTTTCAATCAAGTGGACTTGTATTTCGTATTTCTTTTCCTACCGGTATTTATTTAATTATTTTGACAATTTTTCTTCTAGATTCCGATATTTAGACGCTGTACAAGTACGAGCAAGTCTTCATTTGATTTGCCAACATATAGTAGACTACGATCAATATGTTTACTTTATCATTTTACTAAACAGAAACATTGATTTTCAATCACAAATTTTGTTTGTCATTTTTCTACTTGTGTATCCCAAATTTCTCAATTACATTACATGTTATGAACGTTCAAGAAGATTTTCAATTGAAGAGAAAATTGTGCTGCAAAGCTATACTGAACAGAATTGTTTATTTTTAACTTAGTTTTTGAGAACACTATATCTTTTTCTGTAAGAATATTCTTTTTTTGTGAAAAAAAAAACTGACGTTGAAAATTGATAAAGAAGAATTTCAAAAAAATCGATCTCTATTTAGTTGTAGTGGTAAGTGTTGGTTACACTTTTACGTCAAATCTAAGACCTATGCTGTTAGATTTTGATGAAAAATCTAGGACATATGAAAATATACTTTTTGACCCATATTTCCTGGGATTTTCAAAGAGATCGACTGGTGTGAAATAAAAATAGACTTTTGACAAGATGGGCATGGCATTGAGTGCATTTAGGCGAACATTTAGCTAAAAATATAAAACGCACTTTTTCAATATCTAAATGTAGACTGTCTAATGATATGGAAAAATCTATTATAAGTCTTAAAGAAACTGATAAAATAATTCCTCAAAAAAATTAGTCTGAAAATTGAGATGTCAACAGAAAATTAATATCGGACGAAATTAAGCTATTTGATAGACAAATCAATCATATTTTTGTAAACCTTTAAATCAAGTTCTATACAACTGTAAAAAAATATTTTTCTAATTTGTATTTTTAACGTCTGAGAAGAACAAATTAATATATTTTTTGTTCTAGTATAGTTCGAACGTCTAATCTCGTCAAATAAATATTCTTGAGTTGCAGAGTGAATTTACAAGAAGCTTAGATTTTTCAGCTTTAGAACAACATTTAATTGATAAATAATAGTAATATTTCGAAATAGACGCATTAAACTGCGTCGAATGCTATATAATATAAACCAATTTTCTTGAAAAAATGCTTTTTTTTTTCCTTAAATATGCTTTTCTGCGTCATATCCAATTATTTCTGGACAAAAAAAGTCATACGTCTGCCTGGCATGCAGAAAAGCACATTGTAGGGCGCCTGAAAGATCTACTTATAAGCAAAATAAAAAGCACTCAATTATTATACACACAAAAAGAACATTATATGTATATCTGGTTAAAATAATAAAGCTATAGATACAATATCAAACGTACTATAATATATGAATGGCAATTGATCTAAATAATAAATAAAAATGAAACTCAATCATATGCACATGCATAATATAAGCTAATATTTTCCATGTCACTTCAAACAAAATTTCAAAAACAAATACAAAAATTTTTCTTTTTTTGTCAATAAACAGTTTAATTAGTACCGTGTGAAGATTAATAATACTGCAACACTACAAGAGAGTAAGTTTTATTTTTTTTTTTAATGAATTCTTTTTTTTTTTTTTTGATTATTTTTCTGCTTTGAATTTATAAAAAATAATAAAATTTTGATTTTAACATACTTCTTTTGAACCAGGATTATCAGGTAATTCTAATTCACTGACATGTAATGGTTGTCCACCACTATAAGGCATAAGAACGACTTTATCACCGACAACGACCTATAAAATTTCAGATATTTTGTTTTTTTTTTAATTTCATTTTCGATAGACAATAATCAATAAAAATATATACTCGTTCTCCTTTTGCACGAAGTTTATAATAAGGTTCAATTTGAAACCATGAACCTTCTGTACCACTAACATCCAATGAAACACGCATTGCATTTTTTTCCAAAATAGCTGGTAAACGTTTATTAACAGTTATATATTTATTACTTTTTATATGAAGTAATTGTACAACAGTATCACCATATTTAATAATTGTTCCAGTTTGTTTTCGACTTTCAGCTTCATTTTGACGTTTTTCTGTATCAGCAGCTATTTGTAATTTTTTTATATCTCGAATATTACTAGAATTTTTCAATGCATTCCAATATTGAGCTTGGGCACTGTAACGATGACTGGGACATATACGAAAAAGACAATCTATTCAAAAATAAATAATAATCTAATTTGTAGAAAAAAAAAAAGAATTCTTTTCTTTACCGCGAAATTTTTTTGGTGGTTTTTGTAAATCACCAGCATCAGGCTGAACAACACAACGATCATCAACAAGTCTATTCAGATTTATTTGTAATGTTTATATGAAAATAAATAAATAAATAAACAATCATACCCAAGTGTACTTATAAATCCACAAACAGTACCTTCAGCGTATAAAGCTACTGTATCACCAATTTTAAGAAAACTTGACGTCAAACTTGATTCCATCATTCTATATTGACGATCTACTTGTTTATCTATAATATAAGAAAAAAAAAACAAATGTTTTATTTATAACATATCATAATTCCTACTGGAATACGTAAAAAAAACATTGATCTTTTCTCTCATATTAGGAACGATAAAAAAAAGCCAATTTATTAATGAAGTCAGACCTTAGTAATAACAATAATAAAATGTTTATCTCAAATGAATTGCGATTAATTCACGTGTTATATGCCAAGTGGTTGATGTCGATTTATTATTACTTAGTTTTTATCATAGGAATAGAAAATAAAAGATAAAGATGGATTATATAATAGTATTTGTTAGCATCCTCACGTTTATATTCAGCTTACTGTTGAAAGAAATAACAAGAGCAATCATCTATCTATATATATATATATATTCTAGTCTTCATATTAATGTTATACGTAATTACTGTCTAGAGATTGCACGATGATTTTACTGACAAAAAAAATAGGAACGAATATGAAGACCTTTTTTTTTTCCTTTGACATAGAACAAATGCATTGATTGAGATTCCGGGAGGCTCATTTTGTCGGGTCTATACAAGCAAGAAAAAAAATGTTTTCTATGTAATGTAGTACATATGTCAATAATCAAGTAGTCTTTATATACATGTATATCCGATCAGTTAGTCAGAAAACACCTGCTGAATATATGATGTACATCTACATACTTATCCTTTCACTTTTATCATAGAAGAAAAGAAAAATAATAGAAAGAAAATGATATTTGTTTTTTGATTTATAATAACATATGTTTGATTTTGTTGTGTTTTTTTTTTTGACTGTACCTTCGATAATGGAGGAGTTCGAATTCATCGACAACTGTCATTGCCAATTGGATCGGATATTAACATGGAATGAATTGAAGAAATAAAAAAAAAACAAATATCAAAATCTAGAATTATATGTATACATATAATTAATTATAATCTTTTTTTCTTTTGTATTTTATTTAAAGCTCATTAAGAAAAATAAATGTATTTGAAATTTTAAGAAAATATTTGTTAGTTTATAAATTAATAAATAAATCATTTAAAATATAGACCACAAACCATAAATCATCAACGATAGCAAACAAAAACCATGTCATTTATTAAGCTGTGTGTTGATCGCATTGGTCGACAGCTGTGATATTTCTTCTTTCATCAAAACCCATAGGGAAAACGTGTCACCTGACTTCCGAAAAATAACAATTTTCTTTCTAGCAATATGTTACATTCTTTTTTCTTTGTTTTACCATTTATATATTCTTCCTGTTAGATTTTATCTGCTTCCAGGCATGATGTACTTAATATTCCATTGTTTCTCTCTTTTCAATACCATAAATAAATTTGAATGAATTGATGCTTTATGATGCATAGATGATATTCTTCAAAGTGTCAAATTACGGAAATGAACATTATTATGCATGTTCATCTTATTCATAAAAATTTATCAGAATATCATTAAAGGAAAAAAAAAAAAAGAAGACTAATGAAAAGAATTTTGTTTTTCATATATAGATATAGATATAGATGTAGATATATTTCTCTATGAATTGATTTTCCTATTATCAGATGCCAAAAAATATTGTTATTGGAGACAATATACAATTAAAGAAACACAAAAATAAGATAATATCTGACACAATATAGACTAGAGACAAAAAAAAAAAATAATAAGAAAATACAAGACAATATTATTTATCTGACAAAATTTACAAACAAATATCAGTTTTATCATCTTATTTTTCTATTTTCAATAGATAAATAAACGATTTGATCGTGTATATTTCTTGAAAAACTGACGTCCATCATCGGTCGGTGCCGAAAAAGCCAAATCAGCACGTTTAATAACAATACCAAAGAAAAAATTTGTTCTAAGAAAAAGAAACATGATCAATCAGATTTATTATTATTTTTTTTTTTATCAAACAAAAACTATTATTCTTTTCTATTACTCAAAATAATATTACTATCAAATGAAATTTTTATAATAAGAAGATTATATCTCAATTATATTAAAAATAGAATTCAAATTAATAACTTAATGATATTTCAGTTAATCAATAATAATAAGTTCAGATTCTGAATGACAATTGAAAAAAATTCTATTATATATAGAGATTATTTCTAATATATTGAAATAACAAAGCTATTTTTTTTGTCTTGACTTCTATATAACAACTGGATTATACTACATAGCCGCCTTTGTTGTCTGTCATCTTTTCATCACCTAATAGATATTATTAGAAAACACAATATACCATATATAACTATAAAATATACAAAGAAAAACTTTCTCTTATATATGTCCTTTTATTTTCAATAGAAAAACATCCAAATTCTATTCGATTAATTTTCAATGCTACAAACATGATTAATTTATAGTATGCAGGGAATTTCTTTTTTATTATTTCAGCTAATAAAGAATTATGATTTTTCTTTTTTTTTTGTTTTATATTTTTCTATTATTTATTATTAGTGATGTTGTTCCATACATAATTATTCAAAATTTTGAGATTAGAATTATTTATTAATCAATCGTGTTTATATGAAAAATTGCGTTGTTTTATTGATCGATGACATTGTCGATCAACAACCTTTTATCTTTAGTTTGTCGATATTGAAAAACTACTTCAATATAATGCTCATTTGATAATATTTCATCATATTCAAATACAATTAGAGATGTAAGAAAAAAAAAAAAAGAAAAGAAACATTTCTAGAAAAATCTTATCACATAATAAAATGTATTGCTTATTAATTTATGTCTTCTCATTCGACTGGTTTTTATCGGCTAGGAAACATAAAAAACGTATTGATGAAAAGCATTTGTCGTCAATGAATAGAAATTTCTTTGATCAATGCGATAAAAGAAAAAAGCCATTTGATCGTTTACGAAAAAAAAAATGATCTTGTTCGCAGTGATGAAAGGTGATTATTAGATTTTCACTACAGTAAGCATGTAAAGAGAGACCTCCCTTATCAAATAATACATGTAGTATGAAGTTCTACTGTGTATATCCTTGACATCCTGATAGGTGACACTACCTATCGATATGTTAAAAGCATGCAGTAGAACTTGATAAGACATATATTATTAGATAAAGTTTTACTGTAGTCAAAACTTATCGACAAAATTATACTAGTCATTGATTAGATAAAATTTTCGTTCTTTTCTATTTAAAACAAAAGATACATATATATAAAATAAACTTTTCTTTGTAAAATTTTGAATCTTGTTTTCTTTCATTGTATATTGTGTTTTCTAATAAAAAACGTAATCGGTGATGAAAAAATGACCTACCGTTTTTGTTTTTAGGTTACTATTTATAGATTACAATCAATAATAGGCTACTATGTTAGAGAAGAGAGTTTAATTATTGTTAGAATTTCTTTGGTTTCTTTTTTTTGTTAGAATCGAAAACAATCATTACCGAACACAATCAAGTAATTTTGTTGCAATACGAGCTCGACGATGATCAGGATGTGACCATATACGAGCTATACCACAAAGCATTTTATTCATTTCAGTTTGTGTATCAATATTTGATTCATCATTTAAATCAAGTACATGAACCTTGAAAACGAAAAAAGAAAAAAATTGATATTATTTAAAATAAAAAGAAAATAAAATTTACTCGATGAACAATATGTGCAAGACAATAACCAAGAACAATATCAGTACAATCTTCAATATAAAAATATGCCTTTAAAAAAAAACAAAAGTTTAATCATTAAAATAATTATAAATTTCTTTTTTGTCCCTACTTTTGTTTCACTCCATAAACAATTAAATGGTGTTGTAATTCCTAATTCATTATCAATTAATTCTCTAACATGTTCAGCTTTCTTTTGTTCAGTTGATGGTGATGTACAACCAATCATATATATACTTCCATCAAGAAATTGTTGTAATATATGTTGATGTTTAAGATTCTTGAAAAATCAAAGAAAATCAAAAAAAAAAAAAAATTTCAATTTTCTTTTCAAGTATCATTCTTATAACACTTACACGTAAACGTATAGCAGATGTTGTATAATTATGATATTTTGCATGAGCTGCTTTATCTTCAGCTGAATGTGGAAAATAAGCCATACCACAACGTTTGCATATAATAGCATCGAGCATTTTTTGTCCAGCATCCTATTGTTTAAAATGAATATTTATGTATTTATTAAATATTATCAAAGATTTGAAATTGTTTTCTAAGAGGAAAATGACTGTTTTCTTTTATATACCGATGAGAGAACTGTTAGGACTGATAATCTGTGCTTATGCTTATATTAGTCTGATAAGAACGCGTTGATGAAATTAATAAAAACCTTAAGGAATTCATCTCCGTGGTCGAGTTACGATCGATTTACTAAAATCTGACCTGATAATTCGATTTTGTAATTCCTGACTTATAGAAAACTATAATCGTTTAGTTACGATTCGAACAACTTTTTTTGAAAACAAATCTTTACTTACAATAATTGTTTGCTTGAGTTTTGGTTCATCATCATTATAAACTTTACGTGGTTGCTATATTAAAAAAATGATGTTTTATTAAATTATGTATTATATAAATAATAGCTTACATTTCTAAGTCGTTGTTTATAAACTTTTGTTTCTTCATCATCTTCTTCCTCTTCTTCTTGTATTAATGATTTTTTTATAGATTTTCCTTTTCGTTGTTGTGTTTTTTTTGTCTTTTCTGGTGTTGCAGATATTGTCATGGTCGTTTCATTATGCCATGGTGGTGTAATATTCTCATCATCACTACCACTACCTGTTGTCTCGGTTGTACTTAAATCTACTGCAACGCAAAAAAAAAATAAAAAATAAAACAACACAAGGTCAAATTTATTTATGTTCTTTGCAGTATTTTATTCAGTGTTGAAGATCAGTATGTATTTTTCGCGTGGCGAACAGATATATAACTTTCGTTTGAAAAAAAAAACGACATTTTTTTTGGCTTGTTAGTGATTCCATATAACTTATAAAAACATTCTTGAGAGAATGAAAATTTTTTAACATAAAAAAACTTGAAGGAAATCCTTGTTCACATTCTCTCGACGATGGAGAGCATAGAATAAGATATTTTGACACAGTTTAAGTGGATATGAATTGACACTAGAGATGTATGTCGATACAATGATTGACAGCTGAAATTTTACAATGAATCTTAAAAAAAATTTCCTTAATTTCGAGAAATTTTGATATAAAAAAGAGAGAGAATGATGGTAAGCAGCCTATTGACAAGAAACTAAATGGTTACATTTTCCAGACATCGATTTGAGATGTTGAAAATTTTTAGAAATAAAAAATGTATTTGTATACCGCATCTCGATGATAGGATAAAAGCCCTATAGGCGTCTGAAGCCAAGTTGTGATCGTAATCAAGTAACAGTATTTCCATCTGAAATTTCGTCTATAAACAGGTCGAATGAATGGTAGAATCGGCTGAGAGTTTCAGACAAAAGAAATGTTCCTTTGTTGAGATATTGAATTTCCAAGTAAACTTCGTAATTGTGACCAACCAATCATTTTTTTGGTTGGAATTTTTTAGGATACTTCTGGAGTTATTACACCTATCTATGAGCAAGGATTTAGGTCGAAATTCTGTTATTTAATTTTCTGATAAATACTTAAAGCTGAATCGACAAGGCATCCTTGAAGATTCAATGTACTTTCGAATGACGGGTACTATTTTGAGTAGTTTTCTTATCAGCCGATCGGATTACACCTGCAATCGACGTTTCCGAAAATTAATTTAATGGAAGCTTTTATTTGTTTTTTTTTCTCAAAATTACGCATTTAAATTAAAAGATTTCTTTGATAATCGATACCAGATTCATGAAACTTACTAGGCGCGGTTCCCAAATGATTTTCTCATCGATAATACTGTTTCCAGGCTAATTTCGATTATTTTACTCTACTTGAAATTGGTACACCTGGATGTACACTATAGGAAGCCACGACATCAGTATCCTCATACTCACATATTTTTGTATTCGGTTCAACAACAGTTGTTAACTCATGTCCATTATTAGCTGCAACAAAATAATTTCTTAATTGAGTTTGATGTAAAATTTTTGATGTTGAAGGTGATGATGCATCCATTGATAGATTTCCAAAAAGAAAACACAAAAAAATAAAGAATCTAAAAACCAACAGTTGATGTTTATTCTTTATATTAATTCGACAAAAAAGAAAAAGACGAAAACAATCTAGCTATAGGGACTGAAAAATATCCATGACTAAATATTTTAATGTTCGCAAAAAGATATGGATATACATTTTTCTTGTGACAAAAAAAAAATAGTTTTATTAGTAGTATCTAAGGATTAAATTGTTGCGTTTTCTAGGCTTTTTTTTGCTCTTTTTGTGATGCAAAATAAGCACGCATGGCATTAAGTGCTGATCCAGCTTTAAACCATTCAATTTGTGGTTCATTAAATGTATGATTAAGTTTAATTGTTTCAATTTTACCATTTGCATGTTTAATACGACATTCGACAGGCTAGAAATAAAAACAAAAAAAAAAACATTGAATTTTTAAATTTTTATTTAATATCTACTTCATTCGGTGCTAATTTATTAAGACCAACTAATGAAATTTTATCATCTGGCTTTATCTTATCATAATCACTTGGATTATCAAATGTTAAAGCAAGTAAACCTTGCTTTTTTAAATTAGTTTCTAAAAAAATAAAAAAATAAATATAAAATAATAATTATAAAATTTTTATTTACCATGAATACGAGCAAAACTTTTAACAATAATAGCACGACCACCAAGATGTCTTGGTTCAAGTGCAGCATGTTCACGACTACTACCTTCACCATAATTTTCATCACCAATTACAATCCATGGAGTATTTTTACTCTTTATATAAATTTAAAAAGTAAAAATTATTCATAATATTATATATTTCGGTTTTCTTTTTTTGTTTACCTTATAATAACGAGCTACATCTGGTACTTTACCCCATTGATTTGTTAAACGATTTTTTATATTATTTGCTTCACTATTTTCTTCATTAATAGCTCTAAAGAGAAACATAATAAATTTTATTGACTCACACTCAAAGTAAACATAATCGTTTAATAGAAAATAAAACAAAGTCTATACTTAGCAAATGTCATCATGACAATCTACAACATGCTTACTAAAACTATTGTTAAGTTAATATCTTAATCTAATTTTGTTGTCAAAAAGCGATGAAGCTGACTGTTTTGTTTTTTTTTGAATAAGATTTGATAAAAATAATATAGAGACCTGACTTTTTTCCTTCATTCAAAACAGAAGTCTCTGAACCATCGAAAATTGATTGATCGACAACTGGTAAATTAGATAATGTATCTATGGAAATTTTGAAAAAAAGATATTCAGAAGTCATTGCTCATTGAATTTTGACATAGAACATGATCCATCGATCGGAAAAAAACATCTCACTTTTCGATCTACACAAACTCTAACTTTGTAGTATGGTTTGTTCAAGAGTAACAACAGTTTTCTCAGCTCCCACGATTTTAATAAATCGGCCTTGAACAACTTCGAAAGAGTTCAAGACATTAGGTTATTCATCATGCTAATTCGCATGATGATGTTTGCTTCCTGTTTCGAAACAACTTGAGACTACTGTTTTAGTATCTTTAAAATTTTGTAAAAATTTCTACTATATAGTATTAAAACTCTTGAAAAAATGGTTTCAAGTCGCTTTGAAACTGCAAAAGAAAAGTATCACCATTTGATTTAGCATGATCAATTATTTTTGTTTTGACAACTTTTCAAGTTTTCCAAGGTCAATTGACTGGAATCGAGAGGGTGTCGGGAAAGCTTTTATAGTTCTTGAGCAGAACATACTAGAAAATTGGGACTTGTGGAAATTGAAAAAGAAGAGTTTTTTCTATTGATAGGTCATATATCAAGTTGAAGTTCAATAGAAAATAATTTCAAAATATGTTTTTGAAGATCTATGCAGAGAATTCACTTGATTACTCAGTCATCGAGCAATCAAATTTCAACATGTGTAAATAGCCTAAGACTTTCTTTCTTCAATGATGAAAACTGAAGATTTCTATGTTGTTCCTATTCGAAAAAACAGTTAGGTTTATTGCTTTTTGAAAATAAGAATAGATGCCATATTCAAACAATGACTCAATAATTCATTTCACTAACCAACTAATGCTGATATCAATTTCATCGAAGTTGAGAAATCTTATGTGTAAAATTGAAATATTTAGATTTAACTTTTACTTAGAAATATTATCTCAATTTTGGTCGAAAGTGGAAACGTGAAGAAGAGACTTCAACGGACTAAAGAAAAGTAAAAACGCTCTCAATAAATCAACGATAATTATGTTTCGTGCTAAATCATCTTGTTTTTGCAACAACTACATATATATCACTAAGGGGCATGAGAGAAGATAAGATCTACAAATTGACGTTTTCATTTTTTGAATTTGTTATTTCAACCAAAGTTTACAATATTTTTGTTATAGATCATAGGATTCTTTTTTTTTCTCTTATCTCAAATACTTTTCATAATTTTAAAAGAATTAACCTTCTAAAATCTTAAAATTTCAATATAGAATATATTTGATAGAGAACTTCATCAATAATATTTAGTAAAGTACGAAAAAAAATACGTTAATATAATTCGGTGTTATATTGTCAGGAAATTCATTAAACATCGAATCTCATGAGATTTTATTTAATCTATTTCATATTAATAAAATATGATTTTTTATCAATATAATTTTTATACTTACGCAATAAACATATTATTTGAAATATTATCTAAATGTCCACGATATTTTAACCATGGTCCAGCAGCACTAATATGATCTGTTGTACATTTTCCTTTTATTTTAATAAGTATTGGAAAATCAATAAAATCTTTTCCATCCCATTTTGGAAATGGTTGAAGTAATTCAAGACGAGTACTTTTTGGATCAACATCAACTTTAAGTGATGAACCATCTTTTGGTGGTTCTTGATATGTATCAACACCAGGATCAAAACCTTTAGCTGGTAAATTATCACCAGTTGGTGGTTTCAATTTAAATTTACTACCATCAGCAGCTGTTAAATAATCTGTTAATGGATTAAAACGAAGATCACCACTTAAAACCATAGCTGTAACAATATCGGGTGATGCAACAAATGCATGTGTTTGAGGATTAGCATCATTACGTCCAGTAAAATTACGATTATAAGATGAAATAATAGTATTTTTTTCACCTTTTTTTACATCTTTACGATCCCATTGACCAATACATGGACCACATGCATTAGCTAAAACAATTCCACCAATTGCACGAAGTTTTTCAGCCTTTTTTTGTTTTATTAAAAAAATAAATAAATAAATCAAAAAAATTTAATTTTAAAAAAAATCTAATCTTACAATGCCATCCCGTTCAATTGTTGCACGTATCTGTTCTGAACCTGGTGTTACTGTATATTGTGATTTAGCTTTAATACCTTTTTCTATTGCTTGTTGAGCAACACTAGCTGATCGTGTCATATCTTCATATGAACTATTTGTACAACTACCAATAAGACCTATGATTTAAAAAATAAGAAAAAAAAAAGAATTTCTTTTTTCGAGATTCTACTTACCAACACGAATATCAAGTGGCCATTTATTTTTTACTGCTTCTTGACCTAATTTATTAATAGGATGTGCAAGATCAGGTGTAAATGGACCATTAACATGTGGTTCAAGCTAAAATCAAATAATATTTCAACAAAACAGAAAAAATGTATATATATATTTACTTCAGATAAATTAATATCAACAACACGATCATATTTTGCGCCTTCATCAGCAGTTAATAAACTATTTTTATATTCATTAGCGAATTTAGCAATGTCTAATAACAAAAAAAAGATGTATCTATAGTTTTAATTATATTTTTCGAAAAAAAAAACAAAATTTTACCTTCACGTTTTGTTGCTTTAAGATATTCAGCCATACGTTCATTATATGGAAATACTGATGTTGTAGCTCCAATTTCAGCACCCATATTACATATAGTAGCCATTCCTAAAATAAACAAACAAAAAAAAATAATAATAAATTTTGAAAAAACAAAAAAATTTACCAGTGCATGATATCGATTGAACACCAGGTCCAAAATATTCAACAATTGCACCAGTACCACCTTTGACTGTTAAAATACCAGCTAATTTAAGAATAACATCTTTTGGTGCTGTCCATCCATTTAATTCACCTGTAAGTCGAACACCAATGACCTTGAAAGAAAAATAAATTTTTTAGTCATATAAATAATTTATTACTTTTGGACATTTAAGTTCCCATGGCATATTAGCCATAACATCGACAGCATCAGCACCACCAACACCAATACAAAGTCCACCTAAACCACCTCCATTTGGTGTATGACTATCAGTACCGATAAGTAATAAACCAGGATAAGCATAATTCTCAAGAATAATCTAAATACAAAAAAAAAACAAGTTTTGTTGTCTTTTTGTTTTCCTCTTTTCAAGATTTTTAGTTTTCATACTTGATGAATAATACCACTACCTGGTTTCCAAAATCCAATATCATATTTTGCACTTGCTGTAGCTAAGAAGTTATATACTTCTTTATTAAGATCCTAAATACATAAAATAAATAAACTAATTTGTAGCATTCGATAAACATAGCATGTATGTGGTGATTCGACGATCAAATGACTTATGTATATTACGCGCTTGAATAACTACGTATGACAATGAAATAGTCATAATACGTTTTATAATCATTAACCTATAGAGAACATCTATTTGATAATAATGCACGACTCATGATAGATGTATTTGTATATAAAAATGAAACATCTTTTAAAAAAATTGAAATTCCTTGATTTAGAAGTTTCAATTCATTTTTGTTATCGTTTGTAAGATTAATTATTTAAAAGAAATAAAAATCATCTTATAATACAAGAGAAATAAATAATTAATGCTTAGTCAATTACCTTTGCTCGTTTTAAATCTTGTTCACCACCAATTTGTGCTTCAATTAAATGATCACAATGAATTGTCGTTGGACATAAAACATTTGGTAAACCAGATGAAATAAATTGAAGTACAGCCATTTGTGCAGTTGCATCTTGCATAGCTACACGATCAGGACGTAAACGAAGATATGATTTACCACGTTCAAAGTTCTATTGAACATTAAAAATATATATATATATAATTTAAATTAAATTTTACTTGATTTTTTGGATCATCAGCATGCGAATAGAGAATTTTTTCTGAAAGTGTTAATGGTTGATTAAGTCTTTAAAAAAAAAACAAAAGTGTCGATATCATTTTTTTTTCAACAGGTTAATTCTTTTCAATCGAAATATTACCGTTTTTTAACAACTTCCAAATTTGCTGCATGTTTTTCATAATTGATATATTTATTAGGTTCAAGACGTGATAATGATACCTTGAATTAACAAAAAAAAAACAAACAACCTATTCACAATAAGATTATAATGTCATTCTTCATACTTGTTTTGATTTTGTTGCTGCAAAAATTGTTCGAGATAAATGAAGATATCGAACAGATGAAATTGTTTGTGTAGCACAAGCAAACTAAATATTTAATTAAATGAAAAAACAATATCTAATGAATTATTTTTTAATACTTTTTCAACGCTTGAAATAAGCGAACAACTGCTTCGGGATAACATTGATGATAATATTATGTTAAAGAGATCAGATGAAATGAATAGATGATGGTGAACAATAAACAAAAATAGGTAGGTTTATAGAGGTCACTTTAATCGTTATTATTAGGTTATATAAAAAAAAACATATTTTATTATCTTTGAAAATAATAAAATTATATCTTTATAGAAATCAAAAATTAATTATAATTAGATAAAAATATTATTGGTGAAGATTTGATTACCAATCAGAGATTTTCTATTTTTTTTTTTTTATTAATGATTTATTTCTTTGGCGGATTGAAGTGCTTCTTTTTTTTTTTTTCTTTTATCTAAATTATCTTTCGAGAATAAAATATATTGTTTTCTTTTACGAGCAAATATATAAAATATTATACTAGTTTTATAACATGAATAGGAATGTGTAACTTGTAAAAAATTTTTAAATATATATCTTAATACAAAGAACTATTATAAAAACATATGAAATTTATCATTGTAGATATTTTCATAGGATATAAACTATTCTATTCAGGTCAGTTTCTAATAATGGAATATAAATATAGAATAAAAGATATGAGTACAAAGTTTTTTTTAAATAGATAGTAATCAATGGTGCATAATATCAAAGTTTAGAGAATAGCAAAAGCAAGAAGTATTACAAGTATGAAGTCAAAAACTTAATTACATATAATTATCTTTGTTCACATTCATGTACATCTAATGAAGTATAAATATATCAGATACAATAATTAGATATCATCAAAATTTTCAATTCGTAGTACGTGCTAAAGTATTTAAATTCTTCATAAATCAAAGGCTATATAATGATATGTATGTATATCTTAGAGCTTTGTTTTTTTGCTGCCTTTTTATTAATAGAAAAAATTCGAATATATTTTTTCTTAGCAAATTTATTATACATTGTTAAAGAAACGTATGTCATTAGTTTTGAATGTTGATTCAATATAAAAGAAAAATGATTGAGTATAATGATATTTGACAAAGATATGTCATGTGTATACGAATATTCTACACAATTTATTTGTTGAATAACGATGAATATTATTTGTAAACTGAATTTACTTAAACAAAAAATTGTTTTTGATAACTCAGAAAAACAAAGTCGATTAACAGAAAATAATCATTATCCTAGCACAATTAATACAATCTTATTATATATATATAACATGTTCTATACTGTTGTTCTTCTTTTGTTGTTGAGTTAAGATAATTATATTTGTTCTTATTTTTGGTCTCTATCTCTTTTCTTCTTCACAAACGTAAATTTATCACAGAGTAAAAAAAAGCATATGAAAATAATTTTTATATATTCATTCATATAAATGTTTTTTTTGCATTCTTATTTTTGTCTAAACTCTTGCAAATTTATAGATATAGAATTTCTTTTTTTTTCGAGCATGCATTGCAAACTTACTCATCATCTTCAGTTTTCATTATAGATAAGAATGAATGAAGATGCATATACTTTTTACTTTTTTTTATTTGTAGATGTCCTGTGTAGAATAAAACTATTTTTATTCGTATTTTGTTTTTTTTTCTAAATACTACACTTAAGTTTTTCTAATGGACGTTCAAGTTCCACCACCACCACCTCCTCCTCCATCATTTCTTACTGAATCAATAACTTCACAATTAACAGTACCACCACCAGCACCACCCCTTCCTCCTCCCGAAACAGTTCTTACAACACAACCAACAACAACAAACACAAGCGTTGCTGCTTCTACTGGTCAAGATCGTATTTGGCTACATCCATGGACTGTAACTGAAATGCGTCAACAAGCATCACAATGGTCATTGGCTGGTGATGCAGGTGTAAGTAATGAAATTTTTCTTTTTTTATTTTGAAGTAGATAAACATAATATTTTATTGATTATCTAGTTATTACTTTATTTGGAACAATTTTCTGATAAATTAGTTCAACGAGCTGATGCTATTCAACAACATTTAAATCAAACAGTTAATGCTGTTAAAGTAATTTTAGTTAAATCATATATATCAATAATATGTTAGTTAATATATTTCATTTATTTTTAGAGTACACATACACGTGTTCAAAATTGTTTGAATGAATTTACATCATTAGCAAATACACAATTTATTGAAAATGTAAGATAAAAAAAAAAAAATTATTTTATTTATTTATTAATATAAATAAAATTACAAATCAATTTTTCTTTTCGTCTATTTAGCGTGTCTATGATGAAGATGAAACAGTTAATGCAAAAACATCTAAAAAAGATGAACAATCTACAGTAAGCACAATGTTTAATAATAAAAACATATACATCTATTAATAGTATTGACATTTCTAATAGTCATAGAATTTAAGATTAAATTTAACACTACTTAAAAAATATAGAATCAACATATTCTCTTTTTTTTGTCTTTTACAAGGATTAGAGGTTCTCAAAAACGAAGTTTTATCGATTGACATTGATTTTGAACTTTTTTATTCAGTTACAAGAACATTTTTTTTTGCGTTTGTATATTCTAGAAGAAACTTAAACTTGCTTAGAAAAAAAAAACTTTGGATAGATACTTGAATTTTTTGTTCTTTAGGAAAAAACTTATGTTAGTAATAGTGAAGCACAAGAAAAAGTTTTACAACGTTATGTTGAAGCAATTCAATCTGGTTTATCAATTCTTGATACACATTTTGAACGTGTTGAAGCTAAATTAGATAATATTCAACATGGTGCTTCATCAGTAGTTGATGATGATGATGAAGATGTTGGAGTACCAATTGAACCTATACTTGAACCAAAAGATCCTTATATATTTCGACCATTACCATATCTTATTGGTACAACTGAATTTATGCAAGATGATTTTGTTGGTTTAGGTGATTTATTAACTATACACGATGAAGAAATATATGATGTTGAACAAATTGAAAAAATTGAATCAGATTCAGTAAATATTATTTAGAAAATTATTATTAAAATGAAATGATTTTGTTTTTTTATTTTTCTTAGGCACTATCAAGTTCGGATGAAGAAGATGAAGATTTTGTAAAGATTTCTTTTGTAGTTTTATCGATTTTTTTTATATGTTATTCTTTTAGCAAGCTCAAGTAACCACAGTACAAATTGTTCCAGCTGGTGCTAGTCGTCCAGGTAAAAATAGAAATTTTAAACATTATTTATTTATTTTAATGATATTTTTGTAGATATAGCAAATCGACCAGCACCTTCAATGACAACAACACAATTAACAGATAGTGAAGATGAAGATGATCCATTTGGTATGAATACTGGTCCAAAATTTGATGATTTTTCATCAAAAAAACTAGCTAATAATGATTTATCTGAAGAACCAATAATTTCTACAAAACCTAAAAAAGACGAATTTTCTCAAGGTTAGTAAAAAAAAATAAAATAAACAAAAATTATTTTTCATATCATCTATTCTTGGAATATTTTTCTATAAAGAATCAGATAATGAAGAAGATAGTATGTTCGGTATTCAAGTTAAGAAACCACAAATTGTTATTGAGAATAATAATGAGAATAATGATAATGAATCATTAACATCAAAAGAATCAAATGAACCTGATGAACAAAAACATATACGTGGTGTATCAATATTTGGTGGTGCACAAAAAGGAATGTCAGAACTTGAAAAAGCTGTTTTACGACGACGAAAAGCAATGGGTGAACCTGATGTACCATCAGATAATGAAGATGAAGAGGTAAGAAAACCAACAAGAACATCGAAGGAAACTACGTAAGTGATTTTTATAATTTATTTATTTATTTATATTTTTTGTTTCGTATATAGTAGTTCTTCAATAGTTACTAAAACGACAACAAAACCTTCATCAGAAGAACCATCATCTAGCACAATGTGAGCATTTAAAAATAAAAACTTAAGTCAAAAGTAGAATTTTATCAATATCATTTAGTTCAAATCTTACTTCACAACCATTAACAAGAACAGTAACAACAACTGATAAGGTAAAACACATTGAATAACACTATACTGAAAACGAAAGATGTATAGGGAAATGATTAGAAAATTTTTCTCTCATGAGAGAACTTTCGCAACTATTTAATTGCTTTTGAGTCAAGACTATGAAAATTATGTAGATCTTAATGAGTTATGGATGTCCTGAACAAAATTCGAGCCATCAACTTATTGAAACAGAGATATCGGATAATTTGTAAGGCAAGATACAACAAGAGAAAAATCGACTTTCGTATCTTGATTTGAAACTTTACATAAAAGTAGACATTAGTGAGAATAGTTTATGGTAAAACTTTCAAATCTCTTTATTCACTTTCATATTTTCAAACAAGAACAACAAAGTCGATGATAAATGATAAGTTTTTCTTATAGCCATATCTTACGACAGGAACATTGAAACAGTGATTAGTAAGTTTGGCTATTTCGCTCGATTTTTAATATCTTCTAACTAGGATAGAATTCAAGACGAGTTCAATAAAAACTTCTCATGTTAAGGTAAGAGTAGAGGTTTTACGAGATTCGGTAGTATAAGGAAAAACTAGTATGATCCCAAGTTCTCGAGCCTCCCATACACACTAAGGAACCACAAGACCAGATATATGTCATAACATGGTCAGTATGCTATCGGACAGGAAATCCGAGACAAATAAATTTCAAACACAGTACCTTATAGATACATATTGTGCTATGTATCCACTTGACTATGACTAGTGTATAAGGTTAGAAAATTTTACTCATTCAGTGTTGATTTTGTTCGTTTTATTGGTTGAGTCTATTTAAAATTATCTTCATTTAGACTTCTAAACCATCCATATTTGGTGAAACTGCTCCAGTTGGTGATGCTGATGATGATGATGAGATTTTTATGGATGCACCAAAATTAAAACCAATGTCGAATATCGCACCACCATCAAAAACTATAGTTGATACAAAACCATCAATAATAATTTCATCGAAAAAAGAAAAAGATATATTTGATAATGATACTGATGAAGATGATGATCCATTTGCAATCAAAAAGAAAGATACATCATCGTCATTGCCAATAAAAAAGAATGAAATAAATTCAAAAACTCAATCACAGATAATAGCCAAACCTAAACCAGTTATTCAACACGATGAAAGTGATGATGATGAAATTTTTGGAACAAAAAAAACACAACCGAAACCAATTCCAACAGTATCAAAACCTAGTACTATTGAAAAAACTAAATCACCTAGTTCCGACGACGATCTTTTCAACACATTAACAACCACTAAATCACAACCACCACCAGCAACAACAACAACAACAAAAACATCTAACGATGAAGATACTGTTTTTGCTCGTAAAGCACCAGTGCAACAACCGACTACATCGATTATTCCTCCGCCTGCTTCTGTTTCTATTCCATCAGTTAAAAAGCCAACCGTTCTAACGGACGAAGATAGTGACGATGAAATATTTGGTATATCGAAAACAAAACCAAAAGTACAAACAACTGAAATATCAAATATTATTTCACCTCCTAAACCTAATGATAACAATAATGTACTCGACAAATCAACAATCAAACTTAAAGTATCAACAACAGACACTCCAAAAGTTACTCCATCATCTATCAAATCTAATAATGATAACGATGATGACTTATTTAGTATATCAACAACTAAATCAGACATACCAAAAACTGAAATACAAAAAATTTCTTCACCTACTAAAACTGACGATGAAGATGATTTATTCGGTAAACCAACAATTAAATCTAAAGTATTAACAACAGACAATCAAAAAGTTATTTCACCTATGAAATCTAATGACAATGATAAATTATTAAGTACACCAACAACTAAACCAAAAATCACAGTTACAACAAAAAAACATGATGATGATGATGATGATGATTTATTTTCTCTTTCAAAGCCAATTCAAATTAAAGCACCGGAAACTGCTATTTCATCTCCTTTACCTTCAACAACAGCTGTTAAAACTGAGACTTATGAAGATCCATTATCAGGAATTCGAAAACCTATTGAAACGACACCACAACAACCAATAAAAATTCCAACTATTCAACCAGCGAAGAAATCTATTTCAGATACTGATGAAGATGAATTATTTCCCAAGCGACAAATAAATACAGCAGCATTAAAAGAAGGTGAAAAACCAAATGTTAAAGCACTTTCAGTAAGATAAACAAACTTATAAAAAAAAACCTTTTTTTCAAAATTTTCTTTTCTCTAGTCACTTCTAAATATTAATCCAAATGCTCATCGACCAGGTACACGTCCAAAAACACATTCAATTACTGAAGAACAATCTAAACCATCGGTTGTTAATGATGATCAACCGATTCAAAATATTGAACCATCACAAAATGTTGTAAAAAAATTAACAAAACTTGATTCAGATAGTGATGATGACTTATTTAGTACTAAGAAAAAAGAAAAATCAACCGTTTTGAAAACAGAACAAAAAGATAAAACAAATATTGAAGATGAAAAAGTTAATGTTAAAGCACTTTCAGTAAGAAAAACAAGAAACTTTGATTTTTGTTTTTATTCTTAAAAGTCTATTAATTAATATTTTAGTCACGTATCAAAATAAATCCAATGATGCATATGCCAGGTACTCATGTGAAACCGGATTCTAATGAAGACAATGAATCTAATAATGTTACACAAACGATTTCAATTGAAACCTCAAAAGAAGAACCCCTAGCTGATAAAACTATGTTAAATATACTTAAAGTAATAAACTATGACTTTAAACTTTTCGATAGTCTTTGACTACAGAAAGGTTTTCTGTGTTTAATAGCCAATAGTAGGCAGTTTTTATAGTGCACATGGACATGACTTATTTTCTATCATAAACGAATTTCTTTATAAAAATATTTACTTCCAGTATAGAACAAAAAAAAAGAAGCTCATAGAAAAACAGTAAACTTCGTGAAAGAATATGTTGTAGTAGAAAAATGCATGACGAATATCTTGCTCTAAAATTTTATATGCAAAGATTTATTTTAATAATTTACAAATAACATATTATTCGATGTGAGTAGTGTCACATATCCAAGATTTTGGAGATGCCACCACATCTCCCGTGGGAGATGCCGCGTCTCCAGCGGGAGACGCGACACCCACACTCGAGAGATGTGGTCATTCACCACTGGAGATGTAAGATCTCCTTTAGAGATGCGCATCCCCCACATCCACACCCACATCTCTCGCGCGAGATGCGGCATCTCCCTCGGGAGACATGGTGGCATCTCCAAAATCTTGGATATGTGACACTGCTGACCAAAGGATATTCATTCTTTATTGAAATCACTGGTAATAGCACTTTCATTTTTTCATCAGATGTCCTCTATGTAGTATATACATTATCAACACGAGGAAAACGTACTTAGAAGTACTGGCGTCACTCTCTTTCAGACTAAAAATATCCTCTTTTGTAGTCAAAACCTAATCGTCGCCTTTCATTTTTCTTTTATAAAAACAACATTTTTATTTTATTTTTTTCTTTAAGGATCGAGCTAAAGTATCAGTTAAAACTCGAGCACCGCCAACAAGAAAACCTCGTTCAACTGGAGCTGCAACAGCTACGACGACAAATGATGATGACGATCTTTTTGCTTTACCTAGTTCGACTAAAACTGCTACATCATCTTCTCCGACGATTAGTCCAGTAATTCTTCCTCAATCTGATATTTCTCCACCAGTACCTGTAACAGGTTTGCCAGATAATACTGCTGCTATTGCTGCTATATCTAATAAACAAACTAATTCAAAAGAAAAAAAAACATTTTCGCTTTTTGATTCTGATGATTCTGATATTGATGAATTGTTATTTGGTTTTAGTAAAAGTATGCTTGTCTATTATGAATGATTTCTTTATCTATTTATTTTTATCTAGAAAATAAATCTTCGACAACATCAAAACCAACTACAACAGTAATTTGATTTTTATTATTTATTAGTAAAAAAAAAAAAAAACAAATATTTTTAATTTTTTGTTTAGTCATCAACAACATCAAAACCAACTACAAAAGCAGCTATTTTATCATTAGATGATGATGATGATGATGATTTTCTATCAAAACGGCCAACAAAAAAAAGTACAAAACCAATTGATGATGATGATATATTTGCGGATGTTAAAATTAAATCCCAACAAACAAATAAAGCTAAAAAAGATTGGTCAATTATGAACAAAACAGTAACAGATAATACAGGTATTTTATTTTATTTTGAACTTTTTTTCTTTTTGTTTGATTCAAATAAATTTTCTTATATTTATCTAGATGATATTTTTAATGATGCATCAACAAAATCTTCCGCTACTTCAAAAGCAAAAACAACAAATGTTAAAAATAAATCAATCAAGGACTTGGATGATATTTTTGATGATCCACTAAATATTTCGTCCAAAAAATAAATAATAAACAATAGAAAATAATATCAAGTCTAATTTTGCATTTCGATTTATTTCTTCTTTTTTCTTTTTTTATTCTTCGCATTTGTGCAATATATAAATAAATTCATTTTATTTTTCACTTCGTAATCGAATATAAATTTTCATATATATCAACATAAAAGAATA